TACTTTTCAATACTGGTATTTAGTTACTCGTATTTGTTTATTTACTTATTCAGTGACAGTAGTTATTTATTTATTTATTTATCTACTTAGCATATCATATTCATATTCGACTAACGATATTTTTGACTTATGATGGGTTTGTTGGAATGTAACCCAATCACAAGTCAAAAGCCGCAGTAAGAATTATCATGCACTCCAATACTAGGCAACACACACCCCCACTCTTCAAAGACCTAAACTTACTCACTGTACAGAACATCCACACTACTGTGCAACCTACATTTACAAAACCATATATTCCAGTATTAACCCTGAACTAAAATGCTTCCTTGATATTTGTGACAGGACCCATAGGCACAATACCAGACACAAAAATCTGACATTCCCTGTGTCATGCTAAATCTGTACAAAAATTCAATGTACATAAAAGGGTCTAAAATCTGGAACTTCCTGCCTGAAAACCCTAGAACTGCAGACTCAACCACCATTTTCAAAACTACCATTAAAAAACATCTTATCTCCCTAACATATCCCACCATCAGCTAACTACATGAAAACCACTTATACAGTGGACCCTCAACCAACGGCATTAATCCGTTCCAGAGAGCTAGCCGTTAGTCGAATTTGCCGCTGGTTGAATTAATTTCCCCCTAAGAAATAATGGAAATCCAATTAATCTGTTCCAGACAGCCAAAAGTATTAAACAAAATAATTTTTTTTCCACATGAAATAGTATACATTTCCCTACACAGAAAACAATTAGACATGCACAATACATACATAAATAAATACTAAAATGACACTTACCTTTACTGAAGAGTACTGTTGAGTGATGAGACACTGTTTTTCTTGAAAACACTGGGATTTTCACATTGATACATGAGTAAAGGCTCCATTTTGCAATCTCCGCTACCATTACAACAAAACAAGAAAGTTATCCTGTCTTTCATAGGCTTGTGTTCTGGGAGTGCCTTTTCTTCTGAGTAATGTAGGTCCTGTTTGGCATTTTCTTCCAGAACAGTCCTGTTTCGTCACAACTGAACACTTGTTGGGGTTGGAATTTTTCAGCTTTGCCATGCCTTATCATACTGTGTATGTCACTACAATTCTTAAATCTCTCAAACCAACCTTTGCTGGCCTTAAATTCACCAACATGAGCACTAGTTCCAGGCATTTTTTTCCTGTTCACCTGGGTGTTAATTGACTAGTGTGGGTCACATCCTGGGGGACAAGATTAAGGACCCCAAAGGAAATAAGTTACAGTCCTCGATGACGCACTGACTTTCTTGGGTTATCCTGGGTGGCTAACCTCTGGGGTTAATTGTTTCTCAGTATTTTCTATAAGCCACACTAACAATAGTCTCTCCACATCTTCGAGTAGTACAGCTGACCATGGCACAGCAGCAGCTGACAGTGGTGCAGCAACAGCTTACAGTAGCAGCAGCAGCAGCTGATGGTAGTGCAGCAGCAGCTGATGGTGTTGCAGCAGCAGCTGATGGTGTTGCAGCAGCAGCTGATGGTGTTGCAGCAGCAGCTGATGGTGTTGCAGCAGCAGCTTACGGTGGTGCAGCAACAGCTTATGGTGGTGCAGCAACAGCTTACGGTAGTACAGAAGCAGCTGATGGTGTTGCAGCAACAGCTGACGGTGTTGCAGCAGCAGCTGACCATGATACGATAGTATTTCGAGAGTATTTCTCACCCTTTTCAGCACTAGAAGCTTTCTTGGGGCCCATGGTGGCTTATTTAGCAGTTACAAGCACTAAAAACACTGAATACAAAATATATCGCAGGTACACTTGGAATCGACTGCAACGGCTTGTAAACATTGGCACACTTGCTATACACAGTTTTGGAGTGGCTGGGCCCGCTCAGGCCACATACCATTAGACGAGTTTTTCGTCATTGATACAGCCAATTTTTTTACGCTAAAGAGCGCCGTTAGATGAATTTGCTGTTACTCGATGCCGCCATTGGGCGGGGGGTTCACTGTATTATTACTCGTATCCTGTACACATCCAAACAGACATACTCTCAATATCTGTGATTCCCCCTAATTTACACTTACACTCACCCATATGACTGTAAACATAAATTCCGAATATAGATATTGCCTAATAAATCTTAAGCTAGTCATAAGTTTACCTGAGATACTCCAATATAGGAACTTTAATAGAAACTGTGTATCATGCCAAGACAAAACCATTCTCATTACTAAATTTACAAATTGTAATATTCTTTAATGTTTTGAACTACCTCACTATTGTAAATCTATTTAATCACTACAGTTACATAACTTTAATATCAGTATGCTCCATAACCTGTGTCAACATAAAGTAGGAATTAGTATTTGTCTGCCTGAAATGCCTAGGCATGTTTGTGGCCTTCTTTGTAATTCATATTTTATAATATGTAAACCACAAATTGTAATTAATATTCTATAATATGAGAGGTTTTTACAAAGCATTAGTGTTATAAGAAGAGTAGAGTATATGGAGAGTAAAAGAAAGGTGAAGAGAGTGGTGAGAGAGTGCAAAAGGAGAGCAGATGATAGAGTGGGAGAGGCACTGTCAAGAAATTTTAATGAAAATAAGGAAAAATTTTGGAGTGAGTTAAACAAGTTAAGAAAGCCTAGGAAACGAATGAATTTGTCAGTTAAAAACAGAGTAGGGGAGTTAGTAGATGGGGAGATGGAGGTTTTGGGTAGATGGCGAGAATATTTTGACGAACTCTTAAATGTCGACGAAGAAAGGGAGGCAGTAATTTCATGCACTGGCCAGGGAGGTATACCATCTTCTAGGAGTGAAGAAGAGCAGGATATGAGTGTGGGGGAGGTGCATGAGGCATTACGTAGAATGAAAGGGGGTAAAGCAGCTGGAACTGACAGGATCATGACAGAAATGTTAAAGGAAGGGGGGGATATAGTGTTGGAGTGGTTGGTATTTTTGTTTAATGTATGAAAGAGGGGAAGGTACCTAGGGATTGGCGAAGAGCATGTGTAGTCCCTTTATATAAAGGAAAGGGGGACAAAATAGATTGTAAAAATTATAGAGGAATAAGTTTACTGAGTATACCAGGAAAAGTGTACAATAGGGTTATTATTGAAAGAATTAGAGGTAAGAGAGAATGTGGAATTGTGGATGAGCAAGGAGGCTTTAGAGTGGGTAGGGAATGTGTAGATCAAGTGTTTACATTGAAGCATATACATGAGCAGTATTTAGATTAAGGTAGGGAAGTTTTTATTGCATTTATGGATTTAGAAAAGGCATATGATAGTGGATAGGGGAGCAATGTGGCAGATGTTGCAAGTACATATATATGGAATAGGTGGTAAGTTATTAAATGCTGTAAAGAGTTTTTATGAGGATAGTGAGGCTCAGGTTAGGGTGTGTAGAAGAGAGGGGGACTATTTCCTGGTAAAAGTAGGTCTTAGACAGGGATGTGTAATATCACTATGGTTGTTTAATATATTTATAGATGGGGTTGTAAAAGAAGTAAATGCTAGGGTGTTCGGGAGAGGGGTGGGATTAAATTATGGGGAATCAAATACAAAATGGGAAGTGACAGTTACTTTTTGCTGATGATACTGTGCTTATGGGAGATTCTAAAGAAAAGTTGCAAAGGTTAGTGTTCGAGTTTGGGAGGGTGTGTAAAGCTAGAAAGTTGAAAGTGAACACAGATAAGAGTAAGGTGATAAGGGTATCAAATGATTTAGATAAAGAAAAATTGGATATCAAATTGGGGAGGAGGAGTATGGAAGAAGTGAACGTTTTCAGATATTTAGGATATTTATGAAGGATGAGGTTAATCATAGAATTGATGAAGGAAAAAAGGTGAGTGATGCATTGAGGTATATGTGGAGGCAAAAAATTTTATCTATGGAGGCAACGAAGGGAATGTATGAATGTATAGTAGTACCAACACACTTATATGGGTGTGAAGCTTGGGTTGTAAATGCTGCAGCGAGGAGGCGGTTGGAGGCAGTGGAGATGTCCTGTCTAAGGGCAATGTGTGATGTAAATATTATGCAGAAAATTCGGAGTGTGGAAATTAGGAGAAGGTGTGGAGTTAATAAAAATATTATCAGAGGGCTGAAGAGAGGTTGTTGAGGGGGTTTGGTCATTTAGGGAGAATGGATCAAAGTAGAATGACATGGAGAGCATATAAATCTGTAGGGGAAGGAAGGCGGGGTAGGGGTCGTCCTAGAAAAGGTTGGAGGGAGGGGGTAAAGGAAGTTTTGTGGGCGAGGGGCTTGGACTTCCAGCAAGCGTGCGTGAGCGTATTAGATAGGAGTGAATGGAGACAAATGGGATTTGGGACCTGACGAGCTGTTGGAGTGTGAGCAGGGTAATATTTAGTGAAGGGATTCAGGGAAACCGGTTATTTTATATAGCTTGACTTGAGTCCTGGATGATGATGAAAGTATTTTCTTTTTGGGGATTTTCTTTCTTTTTGGGTCGCCCTGCCTCGGTGGGCAACGGCTGACTTGTTAAAAAAAAGAAAATATGTAAACCCCACATTATAATCTTTACAGAGAAATAAACATTTCAATTTCAACTTCAAGGAAGACCTGTATAAACACAAACTTGATTTTACAGTATATGCTGATTTAAGACCCAAAAACCCCAGAGGCCTAACACAGAGCTCACTAACTTAGTTCAATGGAAAGTAAGAGATTATCAAGAATTCAGTGATAATGTATTCCTGGACTTTTTGAGTATGTTAATTTCATCCACTAAGGTACCTGTGGATACACGCATGTTTTCTGAACAAGTGAGACCAAAACATTAATACACAAATGGAACCAATTTCTTTAGGTAGCAATCATGAGGTAGCAGTATCTACCTTCACTGGGTACAGTACTTCTGGAAACCCCCTGATCTGTCTAAAGTTTAACTTGATTTATTTATAACATGTAAGTCATAGTGAAAATAGCAGACACTTTATGAAGGCATATACAATACTACATACACATGTATACTGGTATATACAAAAATACTCACTATTCTTAATACAAGATTTCTGTAAAACTCCTTGCCAGAGCAGTCATAAAGGTAAAGCTCAACACTGGAGTTCGTGTCTGGAACATTGATCATCTTTGTCACAATATCCAGCCCTAGAGTCTGTTGGTCAGAAAATTATTAGAGAAGATATGAAAACAATGTCACTTTGGCAAAATGCATACAAAAATGCAGTATGTTATATAAGACATGTCTTGAGTATACAGTATTATAATACATTATGGTAAAACAAAATACTGTACCAATGAATAACAATACTTGTATACTCTCTCTGGCCACAAGTCATCCTTTACCAGTAAAATGTACATATACAAAATTATAACTCGGAACTTAAATATTCTATAAAAAACTTCATAAAACTGGGAGCATATATCATTGCCTGAGAAACTATGGTACAGTATATCGTAATACAACAGAGAATCCTTTATCTGAAATTCCAAAAATCCAAAAACTTACAGAATCAGAAAGCTTTTCAAGTGCTGACATGATGCACTACAAATGGATCATTCAGAGCAGTTGGTTGTCAGCAGAAATACTGATTACCACATGTTTTGTGCTCTATGATGTGAAGATATTGTTGAAAACATCAACAGGACCTATGGGTAATTGTGAAAAGAAAAAGAGGGACCATTTATGTTTATCTATATCAGAGAAAGTCAAGTTGTTGGAAAAACTTGAGAATGGTATAAGAGTGAAGCCTCTGTCTGAAGAGTTTGATGTTGGAACAACCACGATCTATTGCCTAAAGAAACGGAGGGACAAATTGTTGAAGTTCTATGCTGAAAGTGAACAGAAATTAAAAATAGAAAAACTCTGCACAGAGGGAAAAATGAAGATCTCGATCATGGAGATCCACTCATGGAGTGGATTCATCAGCAACGGAGAGAGTATGTGCTGTTTAACCCTTAAACTGTCCAAATGTAGATCTACGTTTGCTCACGAAGCGCTCCGAATGTAGATCTACATTTTTTTTTTACATTCTTTCTTATGGAGAAAATCAAGGTTGGAGCGCTACACACGCAAACGTAGATCTACGTTTGGACAGTTTAAGGGTTAAAAGAATGCTGAACATGAAACGACAATCTATATTGACGAACTGAATACTGAAGGTAGCTGTGAATATTCTGCAGGCAGGCAGGTTACAAAAATTTAAGAAAAGGCATGGCATTAAATATTTAAAGATTAGTGGGCTAATGAAAGGATCAAAAATCAATTTCTCTAACACATGACTGAGTATTTAATGACTCATAATCAGAGAACAATGGCTTGGGATGCAGTTTACATTAAGAACAAAATTAAGCTTCCCCCACAAAAACAATGGTCTCGCCTGTAGGCTGACTGCCTTGGAAAGCTATACAAATTTATACCACAAGTTTACAACTGTTGTCACAAAACCATGTTACAGTAGACCCACATATTACACGGTAGTTACGTTCCTGAAAATGCAGTGTTCGATAAATTAGTGTTATATAAACTGAAGAACTTATGGGGAAAATAGGGTTACGTTCCTGGGACCCCCCCCCCCAAAAGCCAAACAATTTTTTTTTAGACATCGAGATCTTACAAAAATAAAAATGATAGTGTTGTTTTGTTGCTTAAGACTACAAATGCAACAGAATATTATTTATTATTATTTTTTTTATTATCACACTGGCCGATTCCCACCAAGGCAGGGTGGCCCGAAAAAGAAAAACTTTCACCATCATTCACTCCATCACTGTCTTGCCAGAAGGGTGCTTTACACTACAGTTAAAAATATTATTATTTACCTTAAATTTTGGTTGCTGGTGTATGTCAGTGATTGTTAATAAAGTGGAGATGCATGGTGTGGCCCTACTGGGCTGAGGTGGATGGTTGTTGGTTGTCGGCAGAAGTGGATGGTTGAGGTTCTGGTACTGAAGTCGATGGTTGTATTGGAGTGTGCATAAATTCTGTAATGGATCTCTGGTTTCTTCTGCCCTGCAGTATATTATACATTATTCCAGAAGCTTGGTACATCCAGCAAAGCTTCTGGATAAGTACAGGGAATTATCAAGAATGAAGAGAGCCTTGAATGCAAGGTTCTTGCTGTGCAGGAAAAACTGACTTCAGGAATAGTGATGCTTAAACCAGTCAATAAATATTTCCTCTGTCATCCATACTGACTGATTTGACCTCCAAATTACTGGTAAGGTGTTTTTATCTATACTTTTCAAGCACGAGGATTCTTAAAGCGGTAAATAACCATGGGCTTACACTTGAAATCACCTGATGCATTACCACAAAGGAGCAAGGTGAAGTGATACTTTGCTGCCTTGAAGCCCGGTGCAGCCCCGCGGAGAGAGTGGTCTCACCCACAGTGGCTTGAGCTAGGAAAATATCCCGAGGGTGATGCTCCAAATGTTTTCCCATCCTACAAACTGAACTTTGTCAAGTTAATTTTACAAAATTTTGTATAAAATTATGCCGCAATTTTTCAATAGTGTAATAACCAAGTGTGCCAAATAAATCTGTGTAATATGAGGGTCTACTGTATTCAAATCAGTTAATCAAGGGTCTACTGTATATGATCAAGCAACTTAACTAACATAAAAGCAATGTGGAAGGCAGAACAACCATCAACCACTGAAAGGGTAGGGCACAGTACCACCACACACATTAACAATATATGTACATATACGTATAGTATAAAGACAAAGGAAAGGGCAAAAAGTTAAAAATATTGAAGCATGAGAACATGAAGTTCCTCAGACCCTGCTGCTGCAACTGGATAAGAGAAAAGGTATTAGAAGGCTCACTTGTGAAAGAGGCAAAAATCTGGTGTTAAACTTCTGTTTTGCTTTAGACTGCAGAAAACTGGGTAGTAAATGCCACCTTGTGAGACCTGAGCACAACAGTGAATTAATCTTTCAAACACTTCAGTAGGGTTTGTAATCTCTATGCCAGCAACATGAAGCAAGGAAAATCAGGTGGGTGAAAACTTACCTGCATGTTTCTATGCCGCCTTCTAACTAACAAGGCAAAAAAATGGGTCCTGGCATTAAGAGCAACAAACCAGTAGCAACCCAAACCAGCATCATGGCCAGGCATTTACTAAAAAATACATTTCTGAATGTCCCATTGGGCTGGGTGATCACTACAACAGAGGCAGAGAAAAGGCTATTCAGAAAAAAGTTCAGAATGACAGATTACACTGAAATATGAGATTAAAGAATGGCAACTTTGTTACAGATAACCTTGTTCCTGATTATGAAATATGTTCTCCCTCTCCAACATAACAATCATTGCATTCTGGGTTAAAGACATGGAATTAACAGGATTATGAGAGATGATTCTCGACTCAATTAAGGCAGGGAGTATCAATAGGTTGGATTATTTTAGACTGATGATCCTCAAATGACTTTCTGCAATCAATAAGTAGTATTTGGTTAGTTTGCCAAAAAGTCAGCAACATCAGCAAAACCACAGAGGAAAGGGGAAGGTGGCTGTAACAGCAAAACATTTTTGTGCATGCTGAAGATGTGACAGCCACCACTAAGTGAACAACTAGAGGATGTAAAGAATCAAAATTCTAGATCACTTGCAATGTACTCTGAAAACTTTAAGAAACTGAGATTACAGCAAATGATGCAATAGACATGGTACCAATGACAATAATGATAAATCTGAATTCAGTTGTGAAAACACTGACATAACAGCTGTACTTTCAATAAAAGTGGCAACAACAATAAAAAAGAATGACAAATGCCCAGCATCAAAATTTCAGTTGAGCATGGTAAATGACAGTGAAGGATATGCTAGTCGCTGCTTATACACCTACCATCCGACTTACGATCGAGTTCGGTTCCAAAAAACTGGTCATAAGTCGAAATGGTCGTAAGTCGAACTTTACTACTGAATATCAACAAAACATTTTTGTAATGACAATTTTATTGTTTTACAGTGAACCCCCGGTTTCCGATATTATTTCATTCCAGAAGTATGTTCAGGTGCCAGTACTGACTGAATTTGTTCCCATAAGGAATATTGTGAAGTAGATTAGTCCATTTCAGACCCCCAAACATACACATACAAACGCACTTACATAAATACACTTACATAACTGGTCGCATTGGGAGCTGATCGTAAACCAGGGGTCCACTGTATTTTGGTATTTCATGTTTTACTTTACTTTTTATGTTGTTAGTACTGTATTTTATACTGTAAGGTTCAGGATAAACACTGTGTACAACACAAATAGTTGTTTATTTCCCAGAAATTTGGCATAAAAAACACGGTCGTAAGTCGAGCAGGTCGTAAGTTGGATGGTAGGTGTAGTTTGAGGAGGGCACGACCCTAAGAGACCTTCTGTATATATATTGTGAACTTAGTGCAATATATAGGTAATCCCATGGCTAGCTGGTGACACAAGTGTGTTGAGTTTGTAATCAAACTCTTATCCAATTATTCTGCTGGAGCACAAAAATAAATCACGACTAACAGTAGAAGTTACTCTAATGGCAGTGTGACTTAACAATGACTTAACAGTGACTTACCATGTTGTAATTTTTAGGGAACTGGTTACCATCTGACATGAACATCTGTATCAGTGATGTTTTACCTACAGTACTATCACCTGAAAAAAATAATCTGATTTAGGTTTCTGTATTTACATAAGCAATTTTAGCAAAACAAAAAAAAAAAAATTGCATTATATTACAATAAGAAGCCCTTGTGGCTTAGCACTTCTTTTTTATTATAATAATACAATAAGAAGCAGTGTTTTGAACTTTATAGGGATATAATGAACAATTTTTGTTTTTTGTCTACATGTACTTGTTTCTCTGGGTGAAGACTTGCTAGTCCTGGTAATTCTACTCTACCTGATATAATTTCTTTCAAATGATAAAAATCAGAATTATATATACAACAGACACCCATTCCACAAAAACAGCTGTATGTGAAAACACAATAAGTGAACAATGGAAATAAATGGTAGAAAATACCGACACAATGGAAAAATAAACACATAAGCAGTATAATGTGATCCTTTATTGACAATGTTTCACCAACACAGTGAGCAAACAATTTATGGTTAAAATGGTTTACATTCTATGCCACCTCCAGAAAAGCCAAACTAACTTTTTCTTTAATTCACAATTGACCTAAACTAATAATGAGCATACAGATGTTATGGGCATATTAAAGTATGTTATTAGAGTATGATACAAGATGATTTAACCTAGCATAACCTACTGCCTGAGCCCCTTCTGTCTGGAAAAAGAGCTCTGCCAACATTTAATCTGGATTTTCCTTCCTCATCATCTTCAAAGAGTTCACTGATGTCTTCTGGCTGTATGATTTCAAAGCCCTCACCTGGCATTCTCCTTGCCTGCTGAACAATTTCTTCGACATGACTCAACTGAGGGAAAATCTGTGAAAGTATTCACCACACTAGGCTATAATTTTCCCAGTCAGCATTTATTGTTCATTTGGGCACATTATTCCACAGAGCTTTGACAAGGAGTAAGGCATCTGCAGTGTTGAATTTAAGACACATTTCTGGCACTCCAAGCTCTGAGCCATCATCCACTGTTGCAACCACTGCCTGAACTACTCTGAGTGTGTAAATACAGTGAAATGGTGTAATTACACCTTGATCCACTGGTAGTATCAGCGATGTGGTAATAAAAAAAAAAAAACACTTTGTATTTGGCTTCAAATCCTGCAATAGTTCAGGATGAGTACAGAAATTATCAAGTCAAGAGGATCATGGATAAGAGGTCCTTGTTGCTTAAATAAAGCATCACTTAAGAAGAAAATAATGCTTGAACCAAGCAACAAATAATTCCTCTGTCATCCATGCTCACTGGCTTGACTGCCAGATAAAAGACAAAGTGGTTTTAAAGCACAGGGGTTCTTTGAACAATTAATAACAATGGGTATGCACTTAGACACCTGTTGCCTTAGTGCACAGCAGTAAATCAAAAGTCCTTTGCTGGAATATTTTTCTTAGTTGCTGATGTAAGTTCTAGAAGACATCTTCCAGAACAATCAAATGCATAACCCTCAGAAATAATTTTCAGCAACTTAGCAAAATTCTCTACTGCTGTGTGGTCAGCAAAGGTAATCTCACCACTGAATTTCACATTATGAAACTTACTGCACATTGTTAACAGATTAAATCATCCATGATGGTTGTAGTATGGGTGGGAGGCAAAGGGGTGGGTGTATATGAAGATAGGACTAGCATAAAACTAAAGAGGCCTGAGGCACATGGGAGGGGAAATAGCCCACCTGCACCACTGCAATGACTGGCCATGTCAGAGCACAATGTGAAAATGAATAGAGCCACCATGAAAGATGTGGAGAATCTTGGAGCAAAAGGTGGAAATAGATACCAAAAACTGACAACGAACAGGGAAAAATGCAATAGGTGGAGGTGTGAAAGGTGGTCTGCTCTGTGTACTCGCCTATATGTGGCTGCAAGGTGTATGTATATATGTGTGTGTGCATGTGTCCCCATATGAATGCATGTGCGCATGTGTATATATGAATATTTGTGAGCGTGCATGCGTATTAGGAAAAGACAGGCTAAAAGAGAGGCGAGGGAGTGCAGAGGGAAAGCCAGTGAATGAGTGGGTGAGGATTTATCAACAAATTTTGCTGAGAATAAGAAAAATCTGGGACAAATAAGTTATAAAAAAAAACTAAGGAAAAAAAATAAATTTAACCCTTTCAGGGTCTGTCCCATAGATCTATGGCTTTGAAGCCAGGGTCCAAGCCGTAGATCTACGCCAAAATTCTAGTGGCTTCAAATTTAAAGTGAGAAGGGTGGTAGGCCTACATTTAAGAGGTCAGTGTGTGCAGTAAACAAAAAATCGGGGCACCCGCATTGTATTGTGGGAATGCCATCTCGGTACGCTTCGTTCATGTCTGGCGCAAGGAAGCTCTCACTCCTGGTAAAGTCTGACTCCTCTTCCCAAGTATTAGTTCTAACACTGATGGAAGTAGGTCTGAAGAGGAATTCTATGGCTTTGAACCATATGGTAGAATGGTACCATATGGTAGAATGGTACCATATGGTAGAATGGTACCATATGGTAGAATGGTACCATATGGTAGAATGGTACCATATGGTAGAATGGTACCATATGGTAGAATGGTACCATATGGTAGAATGGTACCATATGGTAGAATGTACCATATGGTACAATGGTACCATATGGTACAATGGTACCATATGGTACAATGTACCATATGGTACATTAAGAAAGAAGTTGGAGGTAGTAGTGATATGTTTGAGGTGATGTGTGATGTAAATGTCATGCAGTGAATTCAGAGTGAGGAGATCACAAGGTGTGAGGTTACCAAAAGTATAAGTCAGAGGACTCAGGAAGTGCTGTATATAAACTGACTTTACATTACATTGTGTATGCAATTAGTGTATATTCCAATTACTTTTTTGCAAGTACCAAAACTATCTTTTGCTAGCTAGTACCAACTACCTCATTTTTTTTACTTTTATTGTGCAATAAACTGCTCAATTTATCTAATATTACAAATCAGATCTTACTCCTAAACCAATATTATTTCATAGTGACCATCTGTCCATTTAACTTTGTTTACCATTACTTAATTTTAGTCCCTTATATATTTTCTCCTTTATTTTAGCTTTATATAAACTACCCTAGCCTATACATTCACAATTGTTAAAATAATCAAGGTGCTATTCTCAGGTGCTAAAGTAGAACAAGTTCACAATTTTGCCATTATATTCCAAAGCTCATTTATTTTATAGTACTACCTACTATCATATTCCCAAGCTCCATTATTTGATCATCACTTTATTTGTACTAGTCCCTTTTATATTGTCTCCTTTATTTTAGCTTAAAAAAAAAAAAAAAAAAAAAACTACCTTAGCTCATTATTTTACATTTGTTAATAATTCAGGTGCTACTTTTTAGCTTAAGACTATTTACTTTGTTTTATACTTAATTCTAACTATAGATTCACTACAAATCTTATGATTACAAGCATTGATCCAGATACCAACCTCTTATTTAATGACTTAAATGAATCAAAACAGTTACTGTAATTACTACACTGCAGAACAATCAAAGGCACTTCTCAGTGCCAACAACAACATAACTATCTTTAACTACATATCAGATCTTTAAGCAAGCATTACGATGACCTCATAGCATTACTAAATTCCTTACATGCCAATATGTCCATCATTACACTAACTGAAACCTGGCTAAAGCCTGATAGTACAGATGTCTATGCCATTCCTGGTACACAGCCATACACAACTGTAGGCCAGACCAACAAGGGGGTGGCACAGCCATATACTACTCAGACCAACTAGAATGTATCACTAATATTTTGCACAAGAGATAAAACATGGGGAATATATAATAGCCAAATTCAAATCCAAATACCTACAAAAACCTCTCACATTGATAAACATCTACAGAGTTCCACAGTCAAACATTAGCCAATTTAGTCAAAACCTAGGAAGTATGATAACTGATGCACGCATGAACAAAGATCACTTACTACTCTCAGGTGACTTCAATATAAATCTCCTGCAAGACCAAGGACCCACACGTTACTGAATTCACAAACACAATGAGTAACTGTATGTTGCTACCCAACAGTAAAAAAACCTACAAGAGTTACAGAGACTAGTGTTTCCCTACTTGACCACATTCGGGGCCAACACCATTCCCCTTTAAATCAGGCATAATTACAGATAATACCACAGACCACTACCCTACTTTCCTCATAACAACTCTTGGAAAATTCCCCCAAGACACTACTAAAGTCACCTTCAGACTTCACAATGAGGCAGCCATTAATAACTTCACAACAGCTAGTAGCAAACATTGACTGGCACACTGAGCTAGAAATCAATACAGATATTGACGAATGTATTAATAATTTTCTAAAAAAGACTCAATACCTCTATAACAAGCCCCTGCCCTAAAAAAATAAGCAGATGACAGCTAAGGGGACTGAACAGTCCCTGGCTAAACACCCAGCATTCTCAAATCCATAAATACAAAACACCAATATGAAAAACAGTACAGAATGGGTCACATAACCAGAGACCAAACAAAACGTTACTCGTCAATCCTAACCAGCCTGATAAGAAGGGCAAAAAAATTGTATTATGAGAACAGATTATCCAACTTACGAGGTGATATAAAAAAGACCTGGAAAACCCTATCAGAAATTCTGGGAACAAAAAAGATATCACGAAATAGCGAAATAAAATTAGCAAAATCAGATGAACCCCAACTCCCACCAACAGAAACAGCAAACAGACTCAATGATTTCTTCTCCACTATAGGACAAAACCTTGCCAATAAAAAACCCAAGCTCAGATACCCCACCAAATGACTACCTCACCGGACAACTACCCGAACACACTGTTCCTAGCTCCCCACTAACCATACGAAGTCTCCCTTATTATCAACGCACTAAAAAACAAGGCAGGAGATTTAAATACCTTACCACCCTTTATATACAAAAAAGTGTCACAAGTGCTATCACCAATCATTGCAACACTCTTTAACAAATCCATTGAATCCTCCACCTTCCCTACAGTACTCAAAATAGCAAGGGTCACCCCGATCCACAAAGGAGGAGACCAAACAGAGTTGAATAACTATAGGCCAATATCCAACTTACACCCTCTCTCAAAAATCTTCGAAAAATTAATTCATAAACGAATCTACTCCTACCTTATCTCCCAAAACATACTCAACCCCTGCCAATTTGGATTCAGGCTTAACCCTTTCAGGGTCCGTCCCGTAGATCTACGGCTTTACGTTCAGGGTCCAAACCGTAGATCTACGCCATGAGCTCAGCTCACTCTGATAAACTGTGAGTGGTACATTTGGGCCTAGATATGAGAGAATACATCTATGTGGTATGTGTGCACCACATAAAACAGATCCTGCAGCACACTGTGCATAATGAGAGAAAAAAAATGAAATCATGATTTTTCGATTAAAACAGCAACTTTGCAGTGTTTTTTCGTATGTTTTTTATAGTTGTATTTGCGATTTCTTGGTCTCATTTGATAGAATGGAAGACATATTACAGACATAGAGATGATTTTGATTGGTTTTAGCATTGGAAATGGCTTGAAACTGAGCTCAAAGTAGCGGAAATGTTAAATTTTTGCCGATATTCAAGAGTAAACAAACGACCTCACACGTCTAATACACATCAGCTGGTGGGTCTAATATACATTCACAAATATGGTGATGATATTTATACAATTTATTACAGTATTGCATAACAGTAAATCTTCTATTTTTTGGTGTGAATAAAAATTCATTATGTGAAAAAAAAATCAAAATGGAATTTATTTGTAAAGCCTCAAAACATAACTAATGAACAGAGGAAATGTTAGTTTAGTGCCAGGAATGCCTACATTGTTCATTCTGGACCCTATTTTGAAATTGGAATATTTTGAACTTGTGTTAAATTGGCCAAATTAACAATTTCCGATCACTTTATTTTGTAGTTGAAACAGTTGACTTGGCGATTTCTTGTGCTCAATCGATAGAATAGAAGTAATACTAGTGAAATAGCTAAGAATTTGGTTGATTGGAATAATGTAATTGGCCTAAAATGGGAGTCAAAGTCGGCAAAATCGCCGATTCGTAAATATCGCTGACACATCAAAATTCGCGAGAGCATAATTTCGTCAATTTTCCACCAATTTTCGTACTTTTTGTTTTATTACCTTCACAAAAAGATTCTCTACGATTTCATAAGAAAAAATAACAAATTTTTTTTTTTTAAATATCTTGGACACTGGTGCGTGACTCCAGATTTGGGCCTTGGACCCTGAAAGGGTTAATAAAAATACTAATGATGCTATTATACACATGCTAGAACATATATACACTGCAATAGAGAAAAAAGAAGTCCCACTGGGGATCTTCATTGACTTACGTAAAGCTTTTGATACAGTTGACTATGACTTGCTCCACGTAAAATTGTCACACTATGGTATAAAGAGGGCACTCCTCAACTACCTCAAGTCATACCTCAGCAACAGAAAGCCAATATGTGTACGCAAATGGGCAAACTCTTCTGCACAACCAATTACAGTTGGTGTCCCACAGGGAAGTGTCCTTGGCCCTCTTCTCTTTCTCCTATACATAAATGACCTACCAAATGCTTCTCAATTACTCAAACCCACACTATTTGCTGATGACACAACATACGTCTTCTCCCACCGAGCCCAGTCACGCTAGCCAATACTGTAAATACCGAATTACAGAAAATATCTACCTGGATGAGTACTAACAAACTTACACTAAACATTGACAAAACCTACTTCATTCAGTTTGGTAACAGAGCTACAGATGTCCCTCTAACATAATGATAAACGGATCACCTATCACAAAGCTAACAGAGGGAAAATTCTTAGGAATCCACCTTGATAATAGACTCAAATTTCATACACATATACAACAAATTTCTAAGAAAATTTCCAAGACTGTAGGCATACTATCGAAGATACGGTACTATGCTCCACAGTCAGCCCTCCTGGCCCTATATCACTCTCTTATTTACCCCTATCTCACCTATGGAATTTGTGCATGGGGCTCAACAAGAAGTAACCATCTCAGACCACTAATTACCCAACAAAAGGCTGCAGTTAGAATGATAACAAATTCTCACTACAGGCAGCACACTCCACCAATATTCAATACACTCAACCTACCACCATACAAAACATCCATACTTATTACTGCACCTATTACATACATAGAACACTCAACTCTGATATTAACCCTCCCCTCAAACATCTCCTTGCCAACCTCAACAGAACACATGACTATAACACAAGGCACAGATCACTCTTTGATATTCCTCGTGTCCATCTCACGCTATGCAAAAACTCAATGCACATAAAAGGCCCTAAAATCTGGAATTCATTACCTGTAAATATAAAAGAAACACTACCTGTTTATAAATTCAAGTCTCTTCTCAAAGATCACTTACTCACCCAAAACCAAATAAATACTGAATAACTGAACCTTATAAATTGTATATCTTAAATGTTTCTCACAATTATATCACATAAATGTTAAACCTAAAACCCAATCTAACTTTATTATTTTTTAAATACACTACCTAACAGAATACTCCATTCTACTGAATTTATAACAATGCATGCAACCATATGACCTGTCTTTGTAATACTCACTTGTGCTTTATAGTAATCAGTTTACACTAATGTTTTTCACTGATTTCATCATTGCTTAGTTAATCTTAAGTTAATTTTAAGCCAGCCCGTAATGCTATGCATAGTATAAGTGGCTTTGGCATGCTGCTCTTATCTGTATTTTTTTTTTTTGTACCTCTGTAAGTGTGCTCAAATTATAAATAAATAAATAAATAAATAAAAAAAAAGTAGAGGTTGTCCATGGAAATATTGGAGGGAGAGGGAAGGTGGGAAGTAAAGGAGATTTAGGTGATATGGTCCTGGATGTCCAGGCTAATGACTTGGTTGATGACATGGTTGATGATAAGGTTGACAATACAATGGATGACATGGTTGATCATATGTCTGGCAACGAGATAGAAGACATGGTTGATAAGGTTGATCAATAGGTTGATTACACGGATAATGACTGACAAGGTAGATAGATGACTGAGAAAGTAAATGACTGACAAGGTAGATGATTAACAAGGCACCGTAGTCTTCAAGACTACGGTGCTCATCACTACTCCAAGGCTGAGACTCATTACCTCATCTTTTGTATATACTACTACAGTCTTCACATTATCTCCTTGTATTGCACTGATAAGGTCACTGGATGGCGAAAAATCTACAAATAAAGATACCCAAATGTTGCACATGTGTCTAATTCTTCCCCTCACATGTTTCTCACAAGAAGCAAGACTATGTTAAAGACCTGACTACATGTGTCACCCCCGTGGCTGGTCTTACTTACCTATGATAAGACATTTAGCACGTATTATATTATGCATACTGCAATAGTCTTATTGGTCACACTCAAGAGAGTAAGAGAGAGGTACATGTAAGATCCTGGAGTGACGACCACAGCATCTCTGTGTTTGTTTACGTTACCTTGTTGCTAAGCAACACCAAGTGAGGCACAACCTGCGCACCTCCCACTACCTCGCAAGTGATTCAATTCAATCAAATCAAATCAAATCAAATCAAAGTTTATTCTCTATAAGGATTACAATGCGGGGTTTACAGATTTTGGTTATTGTGTGGTTTACATGTAATAAAATACTAATTACAGAGGGGGCCACTATCAAGGCTAGGCATTTCGGGCAAACTTAGATTAATTCATAACCCTAAATTATTACAAATTGTGGAGTAAGTTGACTAAATACTAAGTGACTAAATACTAAGTGACTAAATACTAAGTGACTAAATACTAGTTTGTGAGTTTAGCAACGTGAATGCTTTTGTTTTGGCATAATACATAGTTTCTATATTGGAGTATCACAGGCAAACTTGTGACTAGTTAGGAATCATTATTTTAAGATTAAGATACGTATTTCTGTGCTTTTAGTCAAATGGGTGAGTGAGTGTAAGTATGAACCACCAGGTGGTTTTTATGTAGTTAGTTGACGGGGTGTATCAGGGAGATACCTGGAGTTTACCTGGAGAGAGTTTCGGGGGTCAACGCCCCCGCGGCCCGGTCTGTGACCAGGCCTCCTGGTGGATCAGCGCCTGATCAACCAGGCTGTTGCTGCTGGCTGCACGCAAACCAACGTACGAGCCACAGCCCGGCTGATCAGGAACTGACTTTAGGTGCTTGTCCAGTGCCAGCTTGAAGACTGCCAGGGGTCTGTTGGTAATCCCCCTTATGTGTGCTGGGAGGCAGTTGAACAGTCTCGGGCCCCTGACACTTATTGTATGGTCTCTTAACGTGCTAGTGACACCCCTGCTTTTCATTGGGGGGATGGTTGCATCGTCTGCCAAGTCTTTTGCTTTCGTAGTGAGTGATTTTCGTGTGCAAGTTCGGTACTAGTCCCTCTAGGATTTTCCAGGTGTATATAATCATGTATCTCTCCCTCCTGCGTTCCAGGGAATACAGGTTTAGAAACCTCAAGCGCTCCCAGTAATTGAGGTGTTTTATCTCCGTTATGCGCGCCGTGAAAGTTCTCTGTACATTTTCTAGGTCGGCAATTTCACCTGCCTTGAAAGGTGCTGTTAGAGTGCAGCAATATTCCAGCCTAGATAGAACAAGTGACCTGAAGAGTGTCATCATGGGCTTGGCCTCCCTAGTTTTGAAGGTTCTCATTATCCATCCTGTCATTTTTCTAGCAGATGCGATTGATACAATGTTATGGTCCTTGAAGTTGAGATCCTCCGACATAATCACTCCCAGGTCTTTGACGTTGGTGTTTCGCTCTATTTTGTGGCCAGAATTTGTTTTGTACTCTGATGAAGATTTAATTTCCTCATGTTTACCATATCTGAGTAATTGAAATTTCTCATCGTTGAACTTCATATTGTTTTCTGCAGCCCACTGAAAGATTTGGTTGATGTCCGCCTGGAGCCTTGCAGTGTCTGCAATGGAAGACACTGTCATGCAGATTCGGGTGTCATCTGCAAAGGAAGACACGGTGCTGTGGCTGACATCCTTGTCTATGTTGGATATGAGGATGAGGAACAAGATGGGAGCTAGTACTGTGCCTTGTGGAACAGAGCTTTTCACCGTAGCTGCCTCGGACTTTACTCTGTTGACGACTACTCTCTGTGTTCTGTTAGTGAGGAAATTATAGATCCATCGACCGACTTTTCCTGTTATTCCTTTAGCGCGCATTTTGTGCGCTATTACGCCATGGTCACACTTGTCGAAGGCTTTTGCAAAGTCTGTATATATTACATCTGCATTCTTTTTGTCGTCTAGTGCATTTAGGACCTTGTCGTAGTGATCCAGTAGTTGAGACAGACAGGAGCGACCTGTTCTAAACCCATGTTGCCCTGGGTTGTGTAAACTGATGGGTTTCTAGATGGGTGGTGATCTTGCTTCTTAGGACCCTTTCAAAGATTTTTATGATATGGGATGTTAGTGCTATTGGTCTGTAGTTCTTTGCTGTTGCTTTACTGCCCCCTTTGTGGAGTGGGGCTATGTCTGTTGTTTTTAGTAACTGAGGGACGACCCCCGTGTCCATGCTCCCTCTCCATAGGATGGAAAAGGCTCGTGATAGGGGCTTCTTGCAGTTCTTGATGAACACAGAGTTCCATGAGTCTGGCCCTGGGGCAGAGTGCATGGGCATGTCATTTATCGCCTGTTCGAAGTCATTTGGCGTCAGGATAACATCGGATAGGCTTGTGTTAATCAAATTTTGTGGCTCTCTCATAAAAAATTCATTTTGATCTTCGACTCTCAGTCTGGTTAGCGGCTTGCTAAAAACCGAGTCATATTGGGACTTGAGTAGCTCACTCATTTCCTTGCTGTCATCTGTGTAGGACCCATCTTGTTTAAGTAGGGGCCCAATACTGGACGTTGTTCTCGATTTTGATTTGGCATAGGAGAAGAAATACTTTGGGTTTCTTTCGATTTCATTTATGGCTTTTAGTTCTTCTTGTTTTCTAACGGTAGTTTTGAAGGTGATGAATGTGTTTAGTGTGAGTAGTTTCGGGAAGGTGCTAGTATCTAGTGACTTGTTAAAAAGTAATGAAATAGCATGCGAGAGGACATGGCCCGCTCGCTTGTACAATAATGGTGGGACATGAGACAGGTTCCCTGAGTTATTTTTAAGTGACTTTATAATCTCAGTGACTTCGGTGGGCTCAGTTAGTACAAGATAGATGGAATTTGGGAAATTCTCATCTAGATAGTCCCCGGCATGGGCGTTGGTACGTGGGATTTTACTGGCAAGATTAGATCCTATGGTTGAGAAGAAGTCGTTTATCTTGTTAGCTGTTTCAGTGGGATGCAGTGGTGTTAAGTTAGGTTTAGTTAGAACAATATTCTCGTTTTTTTTCAGTTTGTCGGTGCCCAGAATCTAGTGTTTTTTCCAGGTCTCTTTTATATCTCCTCTTGTGTCAGTGAATCTGCTGGAGTAGTACAGTTGTTTGGCTTTCTTTATTACTTTGGTGAGAACTGATGAATAGTGTTTGAGAATATCTTTGTGTAATAAGCCCTGTCTATATCGCTTTTCATATTGGCGTTTCTTATCAATGGATTTCAGAATGCTGCTGGTTAGCCATGGGCAACCAAGCCGTTTGTTCGTGATCTGTTTCGTTTTTATAAGACAATGTTTGTTGTACAGTCTAAGTAATTTGTTAAGAAAAATGTCTGTCCAATCGTCAATACCATTGGCCTTGGAGAATTTTGTAGGCCAGTCAACAGTCTCTAGGTCTGTTGTGAACTTCCTTATTGAGGCCTCGTCATGGAGTCTAAATGAAACTTTGTTGTATTCCAGTGGTGGTTTACTAATGTTTGTTAAGAGGAAGGTAGGGTAGTGGTCTAGTGCTGTCTGTGATTATCCCTGATTTAAGGGGAGCTAGTATATTGGTCCATATGTGCAGGGCCAGATTAAGAAGTCTCCGGGCCCTAGGCTATTCAGATTGGCGGGGCCCCTTTGAGCTACGGGTAAGCGAAACGACCCCTTCCAGCTTGGGTGGGGGGGGTCGGTGTGAGCCTGTTCAAGTTCTAATTAAATACATTCTGGCTAATTAGATTAAATTTAATAGGGAAAGTACATCAAGACAACCAAAACCATTTACCAACAGCCATTATAACTATCTTGTTAAATCATGCATTTTAAAGAGAATAAACTCAAGACAGCATAGTATTACTAGATTAGGCTATTAAAGTAGTGACATCATGTACCTATTATATTCAGCATAACCACTACAGCACTATTATTCCCTTTATAAATCACTGACCATTATTGTTATCATTGCATCATGCATAAGACTATCAAATCATATAAACTCAAGAAAGTAAAGAATTTTTTAAATTCACAGGCACTTCTTAAATAAACTTTTTTCTGGATTTCATATTGGCAAAATCATCAATTATATTCTGAAAATCAATATTTCTTTTTAGATCAGACTCAATGGTCAACAAGGCTGGGTTTACACAATTTGTCTTGCTCATTGTTGAACGGAGCGGGTTTTTTTCCATCTTTTCAAAACAGAAAATGAATATTCTCCTTCACAGTTAGTAGCTGGAAGTGTTAGGTAAAGGCGATACACTATGTCAACATTAGGGAAAGGTTTCTGAGATACCTGCATTTCTTAAATGTTTCAAAGCAGCTGAGGGCGCACATTTTTCAGGTGGAGCTTTAATCGGGATTCATATACCAGAAAAATGAACTATTTCTTCAATAAATGTGTCCTGAACATCTGCTGAAAGGTGTTGTTGCAACTTTAATGCAGCTTCTCTCAATTCTGCATCTGGCATAGTAGTAATTTTGAACAGAAATCCAAACTTGTCATTGAGATTCTGGTAGATTTCTTTTCTTTTCTTTTTCCTCCACGGAAAGCAAGTCCTCTTAGAGCTAAGAATTTTACAACAGCAACAACTCTTTCTAGAACTTTTCTCCAATAAGTGCGCTCTTTTTCAGTTTGATTTTCCAAATGAGAATCCAATAAGCCTTTTATCTGTGCACGAAATACACTGGCTAAAATGCAGCTCATGTGAGTGGTGCTGTTTTCATGCTCCTCGAAAGGCTTTTGGGAATTTTTCCAGTCATTGAACCCCTGTGTGAAGGTATTTTCTTTGGTAGAAAATAGCTTGCATGCTGAACGTACACTTTTCCTGAGCTTTTAAAGTATACCATCCATGATCTTTTCACAGTTTCTGAATTTGCAAGCTTCCTATAAAACATAGATGACTTTAAACAACGACGACTTCCATCATCATAAATCCTTGCTGATTTCCTAAAGTAATGTTCAGAGTTTGACTGAAGTTTTCTGCAATGAAAGCATTACGTAGAGAATCTGGGGTTTTCATTTGGCCATGAGGCAGGATCTTTTAAGACAAATCCTTGTGGATGAAATGTCCGTGAGACATTGAGAGGAGACACAAAAGAAGTAGATGCTGGCTGAGAAATAATGGAGGGAGGGCTTCCTGTATGATCTAGTATCTGCAGA